TCCAAGTGCGCTCCAAAGTTGAACACTTGAACGATGTTCTAACTGGGAAAGATCTAACACTCAAATTCTGATCCTGAAACAGGAGTCCTGAGAAAATGTCTCAACACTGTGCAAAAGAGTCTCTCAGAACCACATCTGTTCTCTGGTAATAAAAGCTAAATAACTGTGCAAGTCCTCAGAGTTCTGAGAAGGGTATGTTATGAGGTCACCAGCACAGGTTTGATGGAAGTCAGTTATGAAGCTAGAGATCAGAACTGCATCGTTTTCAGAGGGTCCCCTGGAGTGGAGATATAACATTCCAAATGTCCACAGTTCTACCAAATCAAATACGCAGATGATCCAGAAAGAACTGTGAGTCAGACTCCCTTTCCCGTGGGAAAGCCACCTTGCATTGCAGGTAGCTTATGCCTTGCTTGGCAATGAAAAGCAGATCCACCGGGCTGGGCATCCAGGTGACCCACATTTCTGCATAAATGCTTGTGCTGGTGCCAAGGCTGCATGCAGCCTGGAACTAGCAAGGAAGACATTAAACTGAAGGCACAAACACGTGCCTCAAAGCCTGTGGGGAGCTCTAACCATTCTGACAGGCCATTTGTGGTAACTGTCCTGTCTTTTCCATAAACCAGCTATTCCAGCACTGAGAGGGTGATGCCTTTTGTCAGTTGACCGTAATTCCACTCACCTCCATTGCACATATATGTTCTATGTACATCACACCTGTACCACAAAACAGGAGAGGCCAATTAGACTCTGATTAGCTCATATGCTGCCTCAATCTGACAAACGGCTGTTCTCAATGAAATCAAAGAAGTGTGTTAGGGAAGGCCAGGTGACCACTTGGTACACAATGACATTACGACTATGAGGAGTCAAAAAATGGATCTAAAAGAAAGAGGTTATTTTAGTTGCACTTTCTATTGCTGTTAGTAGATGGGAACGTGGGTAGTACATGCCCGAAGGAGAACGTTTCATTTAAAACAAGCCTCACTCGTAAATAAAGTGGCAAAGGAAGAGAGAATCACGTGGCTTCACTAAACTAAGTACATCAGTTGCCAGGGCAGCTGGACATGAGCATCTGGGTGGAACATCATCTGGGCTACTGAAACTCAAAACACAAGTACAGACAAGGTCCCTGCGGTGACTGATGCGTCATCCCAGCTTGTCTCTGTAACTATGTTACAGCAACGCCAGCTGCTCTTACAAATGAAACTGCTCAGTGTCCAGTGACAGTATTCCTGGTAAGTGGGCTATACTCCTCCAAGAGGGCATTTAGAGAACAGGAGACTTCTATCTTATGACTGTCTCTACTCTTAGTCTCCTGAAGGCTCCTTTATCCAGATGACCAGGGAAAAGAGTACAAGAGATAATGGCCGCTTGCCAGGTGTGGTGGTGCACGCCTACAATCCCAGCACTTGAGGAGGCTGAGGCAGGAGGATCATTGTAAGTTTAAGGCCAGCCTTCACTGTAAAGTGAGATCCTGTCTCTGAAATAAAAGAGAGAGAGAGAATAGCTTCTTAAAACCTTGCCCCAAGAAAGAACATTTCTGCCCCTTTGAGAGTGGGTCACATGGCCATACATGGATGGCAGAAAGCCTGGGAAATACCTGCATGAGCCATGTCCTCTCAAAGATGACCCTGTACTGAAGGCAGACAGCACTATATTTTGGTGGACAATATCTTCCACCAATCTCTTTGGTGGACAATCTCTTATACCCTTACATAACTGTCTGTCTAGGACTTCATAATCCAGTCATGTGGACTTGTACTTTCCATTGACTAGAGGTGTTGAATCATACTCTCCTGCTTTCATCATTAGTAATTCCATGTGGTTATCATTCTGAATTTGTTTTTCAAGATGTTAGAGGAGATCTAACCAGACAGTAACGAGGTTTCACTGTGTGCTCCTAGAAGCAAGAATATGGTACAACTGCCTTTCTATTGAGGAAAGACATCTTTGGTCCCTCTGCTTCCTGGCCTTATTCCTAGTATGGTGTCAGGCTGGCTACAGTGTCCAGCTCTGTCCCAGGAATTCAGAACATGCAGAGAGTCCAAAACCAGCTTTGCCATCAGCACCAAGAGTTGATTCTTATTCAAGCAAAACTCAGAGCTTAAACTCATGCATAACTGTGAGAGGGGAGTCTAAATGACAGCCAGGAATTAAGAGGAAAA